AGAAGTCCTCAATAACTCAGAAAAATAGTGAAGCGTTAAAGTTCAATCCTCGTCGTCTGACTCAATGATGTAAGCCCTTCGTTTCTTCTGTGGTTGGGGTGGAGAATTCTGGCTGTCTCTGGAGAAGAAATTGAAGGTGCAGCCTGTGTAATTTTGCGATGGAACGGGAGCAGCACAACTGAAGGCTTCCATGCGGTACTGCGGAGACGCAGTGGAAAACGTGGTTGAAATCCTGAAAATTCAGCTGGCTGAAAACCAGGATTGGAGCCCATGGCCTGATGCATTTGGCCTTGTTGTTGGACGTGATAAATAGGAACCAGAGGTGTTCGTTTATGTTGGACTGCAATCTCTTGATTTGAGGCTGGATTTGCAGTGTTTTGGCGGGAGACTTCGGTTGCCCGATTTTCGTTTGACACTTCTTTATATCCACTGATAATGTGAGACAGTTCTTTCCTGTGATTCTCGTCTATTTCATCGTAGTCGTCTAACGAAGATTCACGTGCATGGCCTGTTATTTCACAGATGATATTGCGCGGTTGACCAGACTTCTTCAGTTTGATACCAATGTTTTCCTCATGCTGTGGTTCGTCAGTTTCTTATTCGTCCTGAGACAGGAGCCCATGGATTTAATTAAATTGCCGATGGTGATTTGTCCCATTCGAACTTTGGTGTACCAAACATCTGCTGATTTAGGACGATTTATGATGCTTAAAAAGATAGAGTGGCCCTGTGTTCTTCATTCCTTCGGGTCGCTTGGACAACCAAAGTTTGAACAGCCGCACTGGATCGCTTTTTCCGCCATCGGTGCTAAACATTGCTTGTGGTGGTATTCTTCGCCTGATGGTGAGACCACCGCTCCGTGTTTTAGTGGGACCTTCCCTGAACTCAACAACTTTAGTTCCATCTTCTCGCTGTCTTATAATTGCGTCTTCCACGTATGCATCGTAGTGTTCTTGGCGACCACGAAATCCCAGTTGTTCCGTCAAATTTTTAAAGTTGACATTGGTCAAGACCTTCCATTAAAATCACCCAACTGACCTTTTTCTCACAGGGCTGACTCTTCTTCAGATGTGATTGGCTGAGCTTTGTTGGGTCTCTTTCCCTTTCCTTGTTGACGCAGGGAAATTGCTTTCGCATTGAGGATTTCTCGTGAGGAGTGAAACTCCCTCGATTGCACGATGCTCAATGGATAGTTCTTCTCCTTCAGATACCGTTCTATGGCACTCTGCATGATTTTAAGGGATTCTGGCTCGTAATCATCTCCGTCCTTTTTTCTTACTTCAGCGTAAAACTTACTCAGGACCTTGTCAAGTTCTTCAGGCGCCACTGTTTCGATGGAGACATATTCAAGATTGCGGCATTGACACCAGCTTCTGAAAACATTCATCCATTGTTTTGTGGAGCGGGACGTATTTTTATTGGAAGTGACAGACTTAAGCTCATGTATTTCATCGCTTGAAATGATAGGAAATCTTGCAACATCCAACTCTTGTAGTGGCTTTTGATTTTCTTCGTTTGTTGTTGACTCGGTGGACTCGGGATCGCGCGGATTTTGAGCTTGAGAAGGTACAAAATCGTCAAAATATTCACCAAAATGTAGACAAAAAGTGGGAAAGTCCCTGGCATGTTGGTCTTCAGCCTGAAGAATCTCATTGTCATCATTCAAAAACTGGAAGAAATTAAACTCATCCATTTTTGGGGGAAAAAAATAAGAGTTTTGG